ACCAAGTTACAGCCAGATCGGTCTATTTGTTTGTGTTTGGCATTCATTAATAATCATTCAATAATACATGTGGCATTCGCCACTATATTTTGAATAATTCGATCGGCGTTGTCACCGGATTTCGACAAGCAATTGTTGTCGTTGCGCGCTCGTATTAAAATCAACTCATGACGAGCGTTTGTAATCTTCGCAGAATCCCAGCAGTACATAGAGCGGTACACAGAAATTAAAATATTCGGCCGCAGTAGTCTGCGCTTCCCAGCATTCATTCCGCATAATCACGCTTCTCTCACCGCTGACGAGGCAGTCAATAGAGGGGGAATGTTTAGGAACGCCTACGGGTAAATGTAAAGAAGAGACAGACTAGTAGTGCGCGTCGTCCAGAGTGGCCATGCGCGAAATACCAGCTTTTTCCACTGTTTGACCAATCGCCGCCCTAGGTTTTAAACGCCGCGTGCGAATGTAATACTAAGTCTGAATGTGATTTTCTAGTATTTTAATTTCTAAATCTCAGATTTCTGATCCTAATTTTAAATTCTAAACATAATTTAATTTCTTATTATAAGTTCTAACTTATAAATTGTAACACTTTTAATTAACTAAAATCAATTAAATCTGTCCTCGTGTAAAATTAATCATTGAGGCACTAACTAGTGTACGAATTACTATTAAATATACATTCAATTAATCTCATTCGAGCATTTCATGGACATTTCCATTCTTTTGGCTAATTTATCCCAAAGCTAATAATAATATAACCGCTATCGAATATTAACAAAAGCAATCGCGTGTGCCTATTGGTGCAACCCAAATTAGGAGTTAAATTCGTTCATGGAGAGGTTTTAGCCCTCCCCTGACTTTCTTTCCACTGGCATTCAGGAATACCAAAGAACAGGCACCTCAAGGTTCTTTTTTCCATATTCTGGCATACGGAATTTGCCGCCAATGAATTGCATTTAGCATGTGTTCCACGTATCCGCGTTCGCGCGCATCCATCGACGCTCGAATCTTGGCGGTTAGTCCATACCCCACATGGTTACATAGTGCATGTTCCGCATCTTCGCTATTTTTCAGGATAGGAAAAGCGGTACCATCAAATGTCCTGAATGTTATACTTCCGTGTAGGAAAACGAAAAGAGAAGTTATCAAGAGATCTTACGGCATTACATTCATTTGGAACTGAATGTTTCGAATCTTGTAGTGCATGTTCTGTATTAATTGTCACTCGATATGCCGTCGCAAGTTGTCTCGACTGTCTCGAAGTATTAGAAAAATTCCTCGCTTATAGGGAGAGCAACCGTAGAATGATTCGGAATCCACTAAAATTGGAATATCTAGTGCTTGCCTTTAACCAATCGGTAACTTGGACAAATTTGACAACGACCCTCTTTGATACACGGAATCGCTAATTTCATATCACACCATAACCTCAGGTTAGTTCGAAACCGGGGAACCGGCCGAGCTTCACTGAGACATAATACTGTCACAGTACATACAGTAGCGCAACTCCCTGTCGACACCTTTGATGTTAGTGTTGGCCAAAATGGAGTGCGCATGCGTAAAAAAATAAGCATTACCATTGTTACCATCTAAACTTCTTTTTCTTTTCATCCTTTTTTCACTCTGTCAAAACTCACTAGATTTATTCGCGTCGCACTACACAAATGCGTTGGAGTGAGTAAGAGCTGTTATAGGTTGCATATTAGAGCATACAAACGGATAAACCTACTATTACAAT